CATTTTAAAATAATTATCACTATCATTTTTATTATTATTATTATCATTATGATCATTATCTTTTATTACTCTTATTATTATTATTATACTTGATCTTATTTCGCAACACTATCATAAATTAAATTATACATCAAAGCCATGAGATAAAATGTTAACAAATTTTGATATATTTTTAGTATATTTTAAGTAACCCCAAACCAAACGACATTATACTTGTCATGAAGACCTCTCTGGACCCACCCAAACTTAAAAGTATTGGAAAAAAACGAAAAATAAGTAATACAACAAATCTTCACATTTTAAACATAAGAATGATAATAAATCAGGTAAAAATTATTATTCAGGATATTTAAGAATCTTAAAGATTGAAAGGGATTAAGGGGGGGGGAGACATTTTTGATGCTGCCATTCTTATTATTACTAAAGCTTAATCGTCTACATTAAACATATAAACAAATATAATTTCATCATTTAAATTTGTCTAAACCAAAATTACAAACAATAAATTTAACTTTGATAATTTATTTTAGTTAAATTTTACAATACTTTTAAATTTCAATATTGTATCAGATGGAAACATTTTGAGACTTCTATATTTCTTGTTTTTCATTCTTTTTTCTTGATCGTCCATTCCTCGCCCATCCTTCAATCATACTTTGGCTAATTTTGAAAATAAAAATAAATCCATTTTTTTTATGTTTCTGCAGAGGCAGAACTATTTTTTAGAGCCATGTATCTATATTCTGAGAGTCAGCTTCTACATTCCTATCAGCCAGCACACTTTCAATGAAATTTTCTTGATAGAGGTGGGGTGGGGGGTAGAGGGGTGAGGGGGGCATTTTACACATTTTCCAATTTTTATCAGGAGTAGGACATAGAGGGGGGGATGGGACGTCTGCCATCCTGTATATTTGTCTTTATTCGCTTTCGGTGAAAAAAAATTAGACAGTGTAAAGCTCAAATCCCCTTCTAATTTTTCCAGTTCAAAGTTTTCTTCTTCTTTCTTGTTAATCTTGCTTTAAGGCCCCATCTCTACTGTCAAGAGATTTCCCTTAGACTTCTTTCTATTCAATTTCTTTCTTCTTCTTGCTTCGTGTTTCTTGTTTTTACACTTTAAGTCCTTTCCAAATAGTTCTTTTAATATCGAGTTGTGGAGCAGGTAGGAGAGAGATAAGGAGGTTTGTAGGAAGAAGGGTATAGGGGATTTCTCCCTGTGTTCCTCATTTTATACTGTTTCCCAGTTAGAGGAATTAAGGAATTTACCCTTTAATGCACGCCTTATGCAAAATGGGGAGTTGTGATCCCTAAAAGCTCTTTTGAGAGGAATCTTCCATATGGCAGTCCAGTCCTCACATCTGGTCAAGTAAAAAACCGGTATCGTTGTGCATGGCTTGTATTCCCATGAGGGGTTAAACTCCTTTTTCAGTGCACCAAGCTGAAGATGAAGTTTTGTAATCTATGCTACCAGCTTCCCCTCTAGGATACAAGATGCGTAACTAAACTCAGCACTTCTCTAGCTGTAATTCTGGGACCACATAGGAGGTCTACTCTGCTTGTGAGCAAACAGGCAACTGAAAATTGAAAACAATATAAAAGTTTAAAATTTATGAGTAAATGTCGTCTTCATTCTGAACAGTGCCTAAAATCATAATTTTAAATATACTCTATTTTATTGCCAATCTTTCTTTACATTCTGTAGGGGGAGGGGGCGCCCCCCACTCTCAGGTGATGGGACGGAGGGGGTGCGCCCGGCCGCCCCCCCCCTAGTTACGCCTCTAGAGGGGGCATATTTTACTGTCAAAATTGGTCAAAAATAGATTCAGATTAATTTTTAAAAATTGTAACTTTTAAAAATTTGAAAGTTGACAAATAAACGCAGCAAATTATATCAAAAATCAAGACGACATTCAAGTCGTCCTGCATACTGTCATGTTTCGTGGGACACCCTGTACCTCATAAAACTGAGTACCGTCATCAGCTGGTCTTGGCCCCAGACTGAGGGAGAAACAGGCCCAGTCGGGGTTGGGGGAAATAGGTCTCAGCTGCAGTCTTGAGAGTCTTGACTCAAGACCTTTCCTGACGCAGGAGGGGTGCCTGAAGAAAGGGATGGGAAGCAGGATTTTTACATACAGGGTGTCCCAAAAAACATGGGAATTCAGTGATGAATTCGATATCGTCTTTCTAATGAATTAGCTTTGTAATACCTAATTTCATAAGCCATAATATTATTATGTAGGCTAGAGTTTATTTTATGAAAAGGGTAAAAGACTGTAAAGATGTGTCTATAATGTCTCCACAAAATGAACAGTGAAGACGGAAAGCTTAATACTTTCTTGGAAAATAGAGGAACTTGGCCCGTCTTGTGGACGTCCCAGACCTCCTTCAAGACGCAGTGGGTTGGATTGGGTAACAAGACTTTAAACTTAGCAAGCATAAATTAGTTTGTTTAAATGTCATTTTTCTGTTTCACAGTTTTATGGGTCCCACTGTATAAAAGTTATCAAATTGAAATCAAAGAGTTAATAACATTTACCTTCCTCATCCTTAATTTTGATGTTTTGGTATCTTGAGTAGTTCAAAAATATTGGTACTGTTTGATTATCCAAATTAAGAAATATGTTTTTTTTTACCAAAAAAAACAAATTAATTTTTTTTTTATCGGAGCTTATGCTCAGATGAACTCGGGAATGCATGACAGTTTGTAAGAGTATTTATTTAGGGAAATGGTGGTTTTACACTTTTTTCTAGTCAATCCCTCTCTATACTAATCTATTCTCTTTGATAACTTTATATTCATTCATATTTTTATTCAACTACAAAGCACGAGATAATACAAATAAAAAAATCACAATTTACTATGTAGTTTGGACCCGCCTAACCAGAGTAGGTTGTTTTAATTGGTTGGCCCACTATAAACGAATGAGAATTGCAGATAAAAACAATGTACATTGTACATACTGTAATGTTGGGTCACTCTCTTTTTGGGATCACTCTCTTTAGCTTGAATCCAGATGTTCCCGTTCTCGTCAGACCCATGCTTGAAAAGGTTTCCTTGTTTCTTTAGCTGTCTTATTTCATACATTAAGGAACTTCTTCTTGTCGTCATCTGGAAGTTTATGAACAGCTTGAATTCCTTGAAATCCTTGTTTCCTCCAGTCTTGATTCCAGACAAAAGTTGATTCCAGGCTGAAGTTGGGCCTCTTTGCCATATCTTAAGCAATACCGATCCATTTGGGAGCCTATGACAGGCCTGAATATCGCCTTCAGGTATCTCTACTTTGTATTTCTGTTTTACTAGCTCTATGCAATGAGCAGAAATGGAGCTGCTACCCAGCTGTTCATCACATTTGATGATGGATGGACTGCCAGGTTTTGGTTTTTGACAGGAGAGGATGAGGTTTCCTTTTAATTGACGCTGTTTTGATTCATCTAGATCGTCCTCGCATTTTCTAAGCTGGTTTTTTATCTCCTTCTCTTCTTGCTTCTGTTGTTTGAGCTCTGATATCTCCTTGCTCAGTATAACCACAATTTCAACTAAATGGTTTAGAATTGTGCCAAAACTAGTGTATACTTAATTTAGCCTTGGGATTGTCACATTTAAGAGTTTTCGGTCGTCTTTACAGAATCATCCTTTGTGAGTAGTCCTGTAACTTATTTATTGATTTGGCAAAGAATCATAAATATAAGGAAGTAGAGATAAAGACTCAGCCTTTGTTGGTAACTTTGCATAAACGGAAAATTTCAGAATAAGACGACATTCACCATACTTTCAAATATCAGATACGAATGTAAAATTTGTGTTGGATTAAAAGATCTTTTAAACATTAAAGCTGATATATTACGTAGGATAAACAAGTAATTTTAGGTTAAATAGCTACTCCTGGAGGTGATAAGCAAACATAAGCTACTCCTGGATTTAACAAGCAAACCTAAGCTATTCCTGGAGCTAATATAGGCTGACCTCGGCTACTCTTTGACATAATAAGCTAACTACCATTTTGCTTCATTTTCGCATTTCGTTCGCTCACTAAAAATGCGTAAATTTTCGTTCATAATACGAGGTGTCGCTTCAATCTGTTTTGAATAAATGCCAAAATTTCGCGAAAAAATAATGCAAAAATTTCGCAATAAAAATAATGCAAAAATTTTGCGACTAAAATTATGCAAAGATTTCGTGAAAAAATGCGAGAATTTCACGAAAAAAAAGGAAATTATGCAAAAAAAGAGAAAATTTCGCGAAAAATACCGAATTTTCAAAACAAATGCAAAATTCAAACATTTATTTAAGTAAAGGAAGAGAAATTATTTATAAGACATAATGAAAATCAAATATTGAGCAATCAGAGCAGAGAATTCCACAAGTTCTTTTGAGCAATTAATTGTTGCACCACTTAAACTCATGATTTTCACAAAATTTTGGCTTTTCGCAAAAATAGTTTCGCATTTTTTTCATTTTTTTTCACGAAATTCGACCAAAAATGTTCGCATTTTTTCGTTCGCTGGAAACCCTACATGCAACAAGGTTGATCATGAAGTGATAGGGGCAGAGCAGAAATTCAAGAACTCCTTTCCAAAAACACTTATATCGAGATGTGCATTTTTCTCACACTATGTTTGAACAGTGCAGTAAAGTGGTCACGTGATACAGGCGGAGACACGTGACCAGTATACTGCTCTGCCATTGGTGATAGTTCTGGTCACGTGATTTAAGTTTAAGATTTTCTAAATTTTGCATATATGAACTTTCGTATAATTTTAACACAGTTTTATATTAATTTCTCGAAACAGGAACATTAGATAAAACTTTCATGGGTCGCGATCAAGAGCTAAAGTGATTAGCTTTCAGCCTATACCCCCTTTCATTTTTCCTTTACAGTCCCTTTAAGTAAATCTGGAGACAAGAACATGGAAAGATGTATCCATCCTTCTCCTCAAACATACTTCCTTCTCTAAGGTAATGTACTCGTAAAAGTTTACATAGAAATTATAGATAGGATAAATATGATGTTATAGGTTGGATAATATTTATAAACAAAAAACTGGTTTTCAAAGTATTTGTAGTCCAGAGTTTTGATTAGTTGTATCCTATTTTTTCTCCATAGCCACGAGGAGTTGTGACTTCATAACCTGCAATTGTTGCTGTAGTGGCGCTAGTTACAGGTTTACCATACCCACTAGGTGTAGGATGAGGGTCTCCATATCCCACTGGTTTCTCCTTCCCTGTTTCTAAATCTACTTCTCTCCACACATGATCCTTGCCCTCTACAAAGTCCAAAGTAAACAAACTGCCATCAGGGAAATTTGCGTTTCCTTTTAATGCTCCCGTTTTGGGATCAAAAGCTCCAAAAAAATGTGTTCCGTTTGCACCATAGTTGTATGTGTTGTTTTTTTCCTCAATAAGTTTAACTTCAACATTTCCAGGAAGAAGAAAACAGTCCAAGCCCAGAACATCCTTGTTAATAGTGGCAGCCTTGCAGGACTTGTAAGCAGTATCTTCACAGAGCTTTGAAATTGCCGGGCTTAATGGGGAGGAATATCCTAAATACAAAGCAATGCATTATACTTTTAAGCACTAGCCACAAGAATCATAAAATCTCAATCACAATTTATGAGATTTAAATAGGACTTTTTGCATAGTTTTTTGATACATCTTTCATTATAATTCTAAGTAATATGATCACCTTCAGTATTTGCAATATTAAGCAGAGGTTGAGCCTTTTCCCCTGGTGTGGCACTGTAATCTTCTCCTCCAGTATATCCATGCTCAGCATCATCATTGTTATCACCATTACTGGCATCTTCATCATTGTCGTTACTTCCTTCCTGGGAATCATTGTCATGGCCATTTCTTGCTTCCCATGAAGCAGAGCGTTTTGATTCTTTAGAATCTCTTGAACTAGTTTCAGAGCCTTTCGATCCTTTAGAACCCCTTGAATTAGTTTCAGTACGTTTTGATCCTTTGGATCCCGTTGAATTAGTTTCAGTACGTGTTGATCCTTTAGATCCCTTTGAATAAAATTCAGTACCTTTTGATCCCTTAGATCCTTTGGAGTTAGATTCAGTACGTTTTGATCCATTAGATTTACTTGAATTAGTTTCATCACGTTTTGATCCTGTAGAATCCCTTGAGTTAGTTTCAGTACGTTTTGATTCTGTAGAATCCCTTGAGTTAGTTTCAGTACGTTTTGATCCTTTAGATCCTCTTGAACTAGTATCAGTACCTTTTGATCCTTTAGATCCTCTTGAATTAGTTTCAGTAAGTTTTGAACCTTTAGATCCACTTGAATTAGTTTCAGTACGCTTAGATCCTGTAGAATCCCTTGAGTTAGTTTCAGCACGTTTTGATTCTGTAGAATCCCTTGAGTTTGTTTCAGTACGTTTTGATCCTTTAGATCCTCTTGAACTAGTTTCAGTACCTTTTGATCCTTTAGATCCTCTTGAACTAGTATCAGTACGTTTTGATCCTTTAGAATTAGTTTCAGTTTTTTTTGATCCTTTAGATCCCTTCGAACTAGTTTCAGAACGTTTTGATCCTTTTGAATATTTAGAAGCAGTATCTTCATCATATTCTATAGAACTAGAAGCAGTATCTCCATCATATTCTATAGTAGCAGCATCTTCATCATATTCTATTGGAGCAGTATCTTCTTCATATTCTGAAGCAGAATATGCTGAATATGCTGAATATGCTGGATACTCTACAGGAACAGGTGTAGAAGGAGGTGCCGGAGCAGCAGTTACTGGAGCAGGTGTCGGAGCAGCAGGTACAGGAGCAGGTACCAGAGGAGGAGGCCGTGGGGCTCCTCCAAAATAGTAATCCTTTCCAGACGTTTTCACATTGGGCTTTTCAGTAGCATCCTCAGTTTCAACCAAGAAAGTATTGGAAATAACTAAACAAAAAAGTCACCAAAAACAAACAAAATAAGGTATAAAAATTTGATTTTTTTGTTATTTCAATCAAAAAATTATTTTGAATAGCAGAATTTATTTAATAAAATTGTAAAATAGTTAAACTTATTCTGACCATTAAAAGCTTCCATCCTGGATTAAATTCAAAAATTGTGTTCTACAATACCTGAATTTATCAAGCTGAATGCAATGATCAAGCTTACAAATTGATTTGATTTCATTCTTGGCTCACAGTCACCGACTAATAAGATTTAATTGTGTGTGTAACATATGATTAATATATTAATATTTCAGTAAAGGAAGACAGACAAAAATAAATGGTATCAAGTCTTGATGCTAAAGTTTTGATATATTTTTTTCAATGGGGAATTTTCTTTTATTCAAAAGTTTTAGATTTACTTTTTCAACTTTAATCGAGCAAAAAATGTTAATCAGTTTTTTTTTACAAAAAGGCTGTTTTAATTCACTTTAATTAGTTGAAATAATGACATTCAATCATAATAATTTATACTAATTTTTCCAAATATTAGCTGTAAAATTCACGGAAGAGTCCGTTAACGAACCGCAAAAACTGTTGATTTTTAAATCGTTAATGAAACGGATTAGCCGTTTTTGAAGAAAAAAATTCATGGTTATCTAATTTTTTAAAATAATTCTGAAAGTTTAAAGAATCGGGGGATAATTCTGAAAGTTTGAAAGGGTCTGAGGATAATTCTTAAAGCGTGAAAGAATATTGGGATAATTCTGAAAGTTTAAAGGATCTGGGGTTAATTCTGTAAGTTTGAAAGGATCTAGGGATAATTCTGAAAGTTTAAAAGGATCTGGGGATAATTCTGAACGTTTGAAAGAATATTAGGATAATTCTGAAAGTTTAAAAGGATCTAGGGATAATGCTGAAAATTAAAAAAAAATCTGGGGATAATTCTGAAAGTTTAAATGATCTTGGGATAATTCTGAAAGTTTAAAGGATCTGGGGATAATTCTGAAAGTTTGAAAGGGTTTGAGGATAATTCTGAAAGTTTGAAAGAACATTATATTGGGATAATTCTGAAAGTTTAAAGGATCTGGGGTTAATTCTGAAAGTTTGAAAGGATTTGGGATAATTCTGAAAGTTTAAAAGGATCTGGGGATAATTCTGAAAGTTCAAAATGGGTCTGAAGATAATTCTTAAAGCTTGAAAGAATATTGGGATAATTCTGAAAGTTTAAAAGGATCTGGGGATAATTCTGAAAGTTTAAATGATCTTGGGATAATTCTGAAAGTTTAAAAGGATCTGGGGATAATTCTGAAAGTTTGAAAGAATTTTGGGATAATTCTGAAAGTTTAAAAGGATCTTGGGATAATTCTGAAAGTTTAAAGGATCTGGGGATAATTCTGAAAGTTTGAAAGGATCTAGGGATAATTCTGAAAGTTTAAAAGGATCTGGGGATGATTCTGAAAGTTTAAAAGGATCTGAGGATAATTCTGAAAGTTTAAAATTTAGGATCTGAGGATAATTCTGAAAGTTTAAATGATCTTTGGATAATTCTGAAAGTTTAAAGGATCTTTGGATAATTCTGAAAGTTGAAAGAATATTGAGATTATTCTGAAAGTTTAAATGATCTTTGGATAATTCTGAAAGTTTAAAAGGATCTGGGGATAATTCTGAAAGTTTGAAAGGATCTTAGGATAATTCTGAAAGTTTAAAAGGATCTTGGGATAATTCTGATAGTTTAAAGGATCTGGGGATAATTCTGAAAGTTTAAAAGGATCTGGGGATAATTCTGAAAGTTTAAAAGGATCTGGGGATAATTCTGAAAGTTAAAAGATCGGGGAAAATTCTGAAAGTTTGAAAGGATCTTGGGATAATTGTGAAAGTTTAAAGGATCTGGGGACAATGCTGAAAGTTTAAAGGATCTGGGGATGATTCTGAAAGTTTAAAAGGATCTGGGGATAATTCTGAAATTTTAAAAGGATCTGGGGATAATTCTGAAAGTTTAAAAGGATCTGGGGATAATGCTGAAAGTTTAAAGGATCTGGGGATAATTCTGAAAGTTTAAAGGATCTGGGGATAATTCTGAAAGTTTAAAGGATCTGGGGATAATTCTGAAAGTTTAAAGGATTTGGGGATAATTCTGAAAGTTTAAAGGATCTTGGGATAATTCTGAAAGTTTAAAGGATCTGGGGATAATTCTGAAAGTTTAAAAGGATCTGCGGATAATTCTGAAAGTTTGAAAGGATCTTGAGTTGTTAATTTTGAGGAAGAAAGAAGATTACAATGCTAATCCAGGGGTAAGGTTTCCATTCGCAAAACGTTAGTGGAATTTTTGTGAAACTAAACGCAAAATATTTCGTTCGTTGCGTAACTCTTTTGCGCGAAAAAAGCAGCAATTTTGACTTTTCGTAACACTGTTTTGCGAAATGTTTGCTTCTTTCGCTTAGGAAAAAGGTGATAATTTTAAAGTTAAAGTTGGTGGGGGAGGGGGGTAGCCGAGCAGGTTTAGATGTTCTTATTTTTTTTACCAAACTGATTAGATAATTGAAATGTCAATTATTTTAAATGATATTAAACCATTAAAAATTTTAATTTCCTTTTAATACCGTTAATTTATAATTAATGAGTTAAGGGACTGTAAGCGTAATTTCAAGTGACCCTCATGCACAAAGATGGCAACTCCTGATTTACAACGTTAATTGGAAACTTAATCTGATCAAAAATATGGAAGAAAACGCCATTTTCCTGACTCAAAAACTGTTTAATTTTTAGTAATTTCTCCATTGCTTCTTATAAGCACGAAATGTGTAAGTTATTTTTACAGAGAAGCCGCAAATAAAAATAACTGGTTTAAAGAAATATAAACATGCATATCTAATTCATACTTTATCAATCAAAGATAATAGAATTTTAATCATTACCAAGTTTCTCTGTCTCTAATTTCTGTTTAATTAATGTTTTGTTCCTTAATTTGCAGTTTTTGTAAGTGAAATTAACAAACTAAGATTTGATAGTTGCATAATAACATTTTTTTGTACATAAAGTTTTAAATGAACCCTCAGCTGTTTGAGCCTGTGCTGAAACTTTAAATTTTTGTCAATTTGTGTAAAAACTTTGTTCAGAGCAATTATTACGCAAAAAAATTGCGCAAAAACTATAATAATCTCGCGGAAACCCTATTCAGGAGAAAAGACTCTTAATATTGTGGAGAATGGAGGCGATCATATTACACATGTTAATGAAAGATGAATTAAATGATTATCAGTTTAACAAAAAGTAGCAAAAATTATTTTAATAAAAGTTTGGGCTTTCTGGAAGAGATGGATCGTTTTCACTTTTATGAAAAACTAACCAATAGTTTAGTTAAAGTTGTAAAAAAACGAAAAAAGATCGATTTTCAAAAAAAAAAAAAATTTAAAAAAATTGCGAATATTGTAAATATGCCACTGAAAATTGTCGTTTGTCGTCTTCAAATAGACTGAATTCGATCAAGGAGCAAACCGACCAAAAATGCATTGGAGTTTAACGCACCTTTTATAGACAAAATACAATTTTAGGTCGGAACCCCTAAGATCAGAAAAAGTTTAGGTCAGAATTTACTTAGATCATTTTCAACGAAGTGAAAACTATGAGAGACGACTTTTAAAAACTTTTTTGTAAAAGAAATTTGAAATACAATGTCACTTCATTTATCAAAAGGTTTTCTACAAACTTATCTGGCAAACTCCTTTTCTTAAAATTAAATTTAATTATTCAAGACCATATAAAGTACAAATACAAATCTTATATCATGATTTATTAGAATTCTTTTTCTTTTCTTTAGTAAAAAGTACTGAATGGTAAATGCATGCATTGTTCTCATTCCAGGTGTAAACTATTTCAATAGGGGTTTACAACATGAACGTCTGGAAAAAGGAATTTTTAAGTTGAAGAAAGAAAATTTTGGGGTGCTATGAAAATTATGTTAAACTGGCCACCACCATAATAGCAAGACTTTTAGTTGCAATTTGTAGGATTTTATTTATGAATATGTATAATAGATTGAAAACCCTGTGAGGAACGATCACATCAATCTTTTCAATATTCCAGGATGTCAACAACTCTGTGTCTGAGATCGCAGCGAAAAATGACTCTCTACAAACCCCTGCACATCATTTAGATATTGAAGTACACATTTACGATGTGTTCTTACAGAGATAATACGACACATGAAACCTCGTATTAATGTATTGGTGTAAACTGCCCCAAAATCAAAATTTGGGTTATATGTCTATATATCCGTGCGTTTGTGCGTTATCTTTTCTTTATGTGTGTTTTCAATTGAAAAATATCATTTTATTTTGCAAAAACGTGCGTTCTTGCGCCGCGGAAAAACGCATGAAAATGACATTAGAAAAAAAATTGGATAATGTGTGTCATTTCCTTGCGCCTGTGCGTTT